TGCTCTCTGTGCCAGGCATTTTGGAGAAACTCTTCTGGTTTTCAGATAGAGAACTAGGGCAGCTGCCCTGAGCCGGTGCTTTGTAAGGGAGCCGAGGAGACCTGAGCTTTACTATTTTTCTATTAAGGAAGTGAGCCGTAAGAGAGAACTCTCTATCCCCTACATCCATTGAGCACCAGCCTTGCCCCAGGGACTCTGACATCTGCTCAGTGATTGCTTGGTAACCCCCTGCAATGGTGAGCAGGGGGGTGGACCACAGAAGTTGAAAACTTGCTATTGCAGCTACTGCAGCGTGGGGCATGAGGGCAGCGGGGGCAAGGTCCACCTGGTGGTTCCTCAGAAGGGGTAGGATGAGTTGGAGGTAGTGTGCAAGGGCCTTGTGTGGGAGGCAATTTACTGTTCTCCTGGGCGTGATGAAGGGCGGGGGCCGTGGGTGGCAAAGTCGGTAGGGTCACATTCATGATGGACCTCGTGTTCTGGGCCAGGGAGTTTAGACTCTCTTCTGAGGCCACGAGTATTGGTCATTTTGATGTGCTTAATGGAATCGGCCTTCCAGAAAACGATGACTCTAAGAGGGGTTCTAGTCTCAATCGGAGAACAGTACTTGCCTAGCAAGGTGTGGCCCCAGTGCCACGCGGGTGTGCATGCAGGGCGCCTTGTAGCTTTGGAAGGGTTGTCCTACATATTCTCATTTGGTCCCAGATGGGAAGAGCCAGGGGAATTTTCCTAATCTGATGGATAATGAAACAGGCTTGGAGGGACTGAGTGCATGACCGAGGTCACACAGCTATTTACTCTCAGAGCCAGGACTGAAACCAGGTCTCTGAGCTCGCAGCCCGTCTGTCTCTGCTGCCGTGGCCTCCCAGCCACTGCGCTCTGTCAGGGTCACTGTGGTTGAGCAGCGACAGGCCCTTTGTCTCCATTACAGACACGCAATGAAAAGGGGAAGTTTGGAAGGAAATGATCAAGTTGTAAACTGCAAGCAGCTCAGATTTTCAAGTCTCTTTCTTCATACACATTCCTCTGCTTGCAGGGGGTGGAGGGGGCGTTAAGTTTTAAAGACTCATTGGCCCGGCCTCATCTCCTCCCTGGATCGGGCCATCCTCACTTTTCAGGACAAAATAACAGCCAGGCTTGATGACAAGCGTCAATGCTGAGCCCTGAGGCTCCTGCTGAGATAGGATTTATTTAGCAGGCTGACATTTACATTATTTCCACCCCTTTGCAGAAAGGAAGTGAGGTGCATGCAATAGGGAATATATAGAATACGAGGGATGCTGAATGGTGGATGGAGAAGGAACCCTTGTGCCAAGCAGCGGGCCAGGTTGCCGTGTGAGGCTGAGCAGGGAACCCAGGGTAGATATGGAAGTGCAGTAGGTTATATACTGGCCCGTTTTATCAGAAAGGAAGGATGACACTAATTCCTTAGGTGGAGACTTCCCTACACCCTAAATTAATTCTAGTGTCTGCTGCTTTCTGATCTTCCATGGGCATAGGTTTACATTATATTCAATTTTGTATCTACTGTTAACAATTAACATTAGATGGTTGCTCCTGTGTTGCTATGAGCCATTATAACTGATGCTTTTAACGACCATGAAGTACTCTGTTAATGAGTACCATCTTTACCCTATCATCAGATATTTAGGTTGTCTGCATTTTTTTTTTTATCATAAACTTTACTGTGAGGAACATCTTTGGGCATATCTGTTTTTTCTCTGTTTTGGATTATTTCCTTAGGCAAGACTCCCAGGAGTTAGAATTTGGTGGGTAAAATGATAGGACATGTTAACTACTGCTAGGTTGCTCTCCCAAAGCACCCTGCCAAGTTACAGAGCTGGCAGCAGTGGACAAGAGCACCTCAGCCTTAGCTCCCACATGGCTCTGGATGAGGGCCTTGCACGTCAGCTGCAGAAGGTGACATGAGGCAGCATAGCTGTCTGCGTCTTCCCCAAGTGTGTCTCACCAGAGCGGACACGGGGCTCTGTCCTCACACCTGGAGACACGGGAACGAGGATGATACAATGTAGTGGCAGTGAAGAGCGTGGCTCGTAACATGGTTAAGCTGTGGTTACGGGCATGCGATGGCTCCTACCTCCGAGGCCAGTTTGTCTCAGATGAGTAAAACCAGACTCATGAATGACAGATGCTGGCCATTGAATTGTCCCTGCTTCTCTCAGGGGGTGGGGGCAGGTTGTCAGGTATGGGGAGAGCCCGCAGGTGTTCCACAAGCACCCCACCCCCATCCTAGGAAAGGGGGCTTGACTGGAAGAAATGTGGAGTCCGGTTACTATACCCCGTCCATCTTGACCTGCTACCCTACTGTGGTGATGGCGAACCTTTTGAGCTCGGCGTGTCAGCATTTTGAAAAACCCTAACTTAACCTTGGTGCCGTGTCACATAGAGAAAGTTTTTGATATTTGCAACCATAGTAAAACAAAGATTTATATTTTTGATATTTATTTTGTATATTTAAATGCCATTTAACAAAGAAAAATCAACCAAAAAAATGAGTTTGCGTGTCACCTCTGACACGCGTGTCATAGGTTCGCCATCACTGCCCTAATGTGTGATTCCCATGTGTCCTGATTCGTGACTTATTTACAGTTTTCTGAGTATTCTTGTGTGCCCTCTCAAGCTTTTTCCCGAGTGAGGCCATGCAAGGAAGAAAGGTCGTTAAATGGGTAGGGTTGCTGGATTTAGCAAATTAAAAATAAGGTGTCCCCTACCTACATTACATTTTTGTCATTATTTACCTGAAATTCAAATTCAGCTGGGCATTCTGTAGCTGATCCAGCAACCCTGGAAGGGGTGTGCCATCTGAAATGATATATTGTGAATGACTCACCTCGAAGGTCACGAGGGCACGGGAAAAAGCGCCAAGTGTTCATTCACCATACGTCCTGCTCCGCTTATCTGGGCCTGTATAATGCGAGGCGCCCGAGGGTCCTGAGGAGCGCGCTGTCAGAAGGTTCCCAGGAGCCAGAGGGCCTGGTTGGGCGACTCACTGTGACCCCGGCGTGGTCAGGTCACAGCGAGAGGGCCTGGCGGGGATTAGCTTGTGACCAGGGAGGGGTCGCAGGACTTCTCACGGTTCTGAGGAGACGCAGCTGACCCTGGGGCCGCACATCTCCTGCTGTAAGCCCTAATCATGAATCCTTCCTGAACTTTCCAGTGTCTGGGGAATTTCTTACATTTCATAAAAGGTGGGATGGGGAGGGGGAGAAAGGAAAAAGGAAGATAAGAGGGACCAGATTCACTTGCTTTTGTCTGGCTCCAGGGCACTAAAAATGTCAAGACACAGACTTAGAGGGAGCCTGCTGTGGAGATGGACCACCCACTATCCAGGGGGTCAGGACAGGTTTCCCAGAGGTCACCAGGTGAGGCAGCAGGAGTTCCAGAATCCAGGGTCCAGGCTATAGGACACTGCCGGGCCAGGGACCCCACCTGGTCCTCCGGTTCACTCACCAGCTGGCTCTTTCTGTTTTAAGATGTCAACGCTCCTTTCTCTCTCCAGCAAGCATCTTTCCACCCTGATGTCAGCGAGGACGTGCGCGCCAGAGCCTTGCGGTACGGGACGGAGTGCACCCTCAGCTACCTGGACCTTCTGGAGCACGTCCTGGTGGTGAGTCGGGGTGTGGGCCGGGGCTGGAGAAGAGCTCATTGGCACAGACCATCCTTTCCTCGGGCAAACCCCTCCGAGGGCATTGTTCGGGCTCTGAGTGCGAGGCCACGGCTGCACTGAGGTTCAAGTGCAGGCGGGGGAAGCGGCAGGGATAGTCCAGAAGGGCCTGGCTCTCCCGTTGCACCACAGGGGCAAACCAGCATGGAAGGGGGGTGGGCAGAGTGAGGGACAGAGCAGGTGGGGACGAGTGTCAGGAGGTCCTCTTTGGAAGACCTAGGCCATCCCACAAGGGGACAGAAGGCTCCTGAAAGAGCCACACCAGCCTCCACAACAACTTAGGGAAAACATCACCAGGGCTGTGGGTGACCTACTAGCCTCTCACAACTTCCTCTAGTCCTTGACAAATGGTTTAGACCACGTTGAGAACGACATTTCCTTTCCTCTGGTGACCTTCTGCCTGCCTGGGGCGCCTGCGTGGATCCGGGTTAGGAGGCTGAAACGAATCCACTGGCAAGGGTGTGGTGGCTGTGGCTGTGGCTGTGGCTGGCAGCCTCAGGCTTGCACCAACTCCCAGTTCCTAGGGTGGCTTGGCGCCCCCCACCCCCCCAAGGCCCTAAAGGCCAGACCAGAAAGTGTATCAGGTGCACGTCTGTGCCTGCCTCCCCCAGGAGCATGTATAGAACAGGGGAGGTGGGGAAGGCCAAGGCCTTTCCAGGCAGAGTGCTCAGCCTTTTCAGGGAGATGCGAAGTCCTACATGACAGATTACCGCCTTGGTCCTGACCAGAGGATCCCAGACTGATTGTGATTACATTCCTGGAGAAGGTTGAAACTGCAATTAGATCCCATGTTAAGTCTTGCTTTGGTGACATGGCTTTAGCACAGGGACTCCATTTGGGCCTGTTGGGGTTTTCTCTGTAACAGTCCCTCCCTTTTGACCAGACTCTCAGCTTGACTTGGAGATGTGATCAAATTGAAGGCAGTAGCACCACACTCAGCTCCCGCTCTGCAGTTCTGGCAGCTTTCAGATTCCCTGTGTGATAGTCACAGGTGTGATAGTCACAGGTGTGATGGTCACAGGAGTGATAGTCACAGGTGTGATAGTCACAGGTGTGATAGTCACAGGTGTGATAGTCACAGGTGTGATAGTGACAGGTGTGATAGTCACAGGTGTGATAGTCACAGGTGTGATAGTGACAGATGTGATAGTCACAGGTCATCATGATTTTGCTTAATCCCTGTGACATTCACAGGTTCACTCTCTGCACCTCCTCCACCCCCACCCCACCCCCCGAGGTCAGCTTTTGTTGAAAGTGTTACAAAAGAGGTTTAGTCAAAAAGACCAAAGCCCATGTCATCATCAGACTCCTCAGATTCTTATTTCTTTGCCTCCATTTTCTTCTCCTGAGCTGGGGCAGCAGCAGTGGAGGGGGCAGGACGTCCTGCTGGTACAGCACCAGCTGCAGGGGTAGGGCCACCAGCTCCTGCATTGCAGATGAGACACCCAATGTTGACACTGGCCAGAGCCTTTGCAAACAAGCCTGGCCAGAAAGGTTCATCATCTACACCAGCTGCTTTAATGAGGGCATTGATCTTATCCCCCGTCACCGTCATTTCATCGTTGTGCAGGGTAAGGGCTGAGTAGATGCAGGGGAGCTTCGAGACAGAGGCCATAGTGAGGGTGAGCGCCGCCGGGAGTGATGCTTGCTAGTCGCAGGATGAAGAGGGCCTCACCCCAGCGCCAGGGCCTTAGCTTCCTCAGAAGAACTGAGCACCTTACCGGCAGCTGGGGAAAAACCAGGTTCACTCTCTGTAGACTGTCCTTCCCTTTGTTCCTTCCCTGACAATCCAATCTTAAGTAGATCATTTGCTTGGTGGTTAGTGGCTGCAAACATGTGTTTAGAGCTTTTGAGAGAACACAATGTGCCAGAGAAATTATGGTGATAAACATAAAAAGGGTAATTTCTAGTATTTGGAATGTACTTTGGAACCATAGTCCCCAAGACCCAAACCAGTCAAAATCAAATAGTGAAAAAAATATCTTGTTGAGGGAGTCACCTTTTTATGCCATGTGACTGGCTCCGTGATCTTACATAACTGAGTTTCAGTTTCGCTAGAAGCATTAATCCGGGTGCATGCTGGCCACAGCACAGACACCTCCTTGCTCAGCTAAAGGATAATCTAGGGCTCTTCTGTTGTTAAAAGCAACTTCGGACAGAGACTGAAAGAATTTTTGTTGGGCAAATGTTGCTTTAGCGGTGGATTCTGCAATGTTTTCAGAGCGAAGGAGAGGATCCTGGTTATAGCCTTCCTTTTATTTATTTCAAACTAGGGAAGTAGGGACCTGCCAAAGGAAGTGAATTCTGAATCATGGTAGGTCCTTTCTAACTTGACAGTGTAAACTCGGGGGATTTGACCCAGGACACTGTCTGTGTGCATTTGTGAACAGTTGGATAACCTAAGAGGCATGGCCTGTTATACACCAGCCATTGAGGAGAATGATCACCACTGAGGACAAAGTCCTGCCAGGCATTGGCCACCTCCACTGTGCACTGTTCATGGCCAGATTGGAGTTCTGATAACAAGTCCCAAGTCTGACAGGTAACCCTCCACCGTGGCAATGGTCTGGGAGATGGGGGTGATGGATGGCATCATCTTTCCAGGCCAAGGTCGGGGTGAAGGAAAGAGACAAGAAGAAAGGGTTTCATGTTTGGTTAAAGTGCACAGTCTTGATCCCGTGCCTTGGATGGAAGCAGTCTGCACTGATGTCAGCTGTTTCTCTTCCTCATTAAAGTGAGTCGTAGGTGTGCAGTGTCTGTGCAATGTCAGGTGGAGCCTTCCTTAGCTGTGACCCATAGCTTGGGGCCTTCTACAGCTCAGCAGCATCAGTGGGCAGGAGTATGTACTTGGTAAGGTCCCTTCAGTGGGGCTCGAGGGCTCCTCTGATGATGTGTCTAGAATCCCCAGTCACCAGGCTCTAGGCCAGTGATGGCAAACCTTTTGAGCTCGGTGTGTCAGCATTTTGAAAAACCCTAACAATTCTGGTGCCATGTCACATATAGAAATTTTTTGATATTTGCAACCATAGTAAAACAAAGACATATTTTTGATATTTATTTTATATATTTAAATGCCATTTAACAAAGAAAAATCAACCCAAAAAATTAGTTCGCATGTCACCTCTGACACACGTGTCATAGGTTCGCCATCACTGCTCTAGGCTGTGACCCACAGGATCCTTTAAAATGGGATCTGGGTGGCGTCTTTAACCTATTGATGATAAGATGGAGCATTAGAAACAACAGCAGCTGGTCCTACTAGCCTGAGACAGCAAGGGATCAACAGAAGGTTGAAAACCAATAGGCATCAGCAAAGGATCAACAGAAGGTTGAAAACCAATAGGCATTGGTCTGCTGGTGACTCTCTTGTGTGGAGTGAGATTATATTTCCCAAAGGAGGTACTGTGAACACTCAGCGAGACCCAAGGCAATACGGTAGGCAAGGGGAGTCCAGTAGCTTTAGCAAGTTTAGAGATTTTAAATTTGGGGGTCCCATTAATTCTTTCTACCTTGCCTGGCAACCGAGGGTGATAAAGACAGTGATAATTCTGAGAACAAGTCTTTCCATCAAGGCTCACCTGATTTGCCCAAGGAAGTAGGTGCCTAGATCATTGGAAATTGTGGCAGGTACACCCTAAGTGGGAAACACGTTTTTCTAACAGCTTCTTTGCCCCTGTGAGGGCATCAGCAGTCACCAGTTAAGCCTAGAAATCCACGAAGCTGTTGCTTAGTTGTGGGTCTAGGAAATCCCTGGCTTAGCTTCATTCCTTTTGGAGACAGCTGTGTTCCTTCAGCACTGAGATCACGGCCTGGGTAATGAGCACTGTCTAAAGATCATTGAAATGCTTCCTTAGAGGCTTCGTGTCCTTTTCAGTGAACTGTTGCAGCAAATAAATGGAATCTTCCATGGACACCTCTTTGGTAACTGAGCTCAACAAGAGGTTATCTACACGTTGTGAAAAGGCCGATTTCCCTGCGGACCTGGAGGATGTTTAAATCTCGGGGAAATCCTTAGGAGAAATAAGAGGGGCCTCTGTACCCTTGAGGCATGACTGCCAGGTACACGGTCACTTACTCCGTGTAAAGGCAAGTAAGACGTTGGCTGTGAGGTCTGCAGGGATGCTGAAGCAGGCTGCACAGGGGTCTGCAGCAGTGAGCCGCTGAGTCTGGAGGAACTTGACAACAACAGTGTTCGGGTTAGAACTGGGAACCGAGGAATCTGTATGTTATTAAGAGTTCTCAGGTCCCTCAAATCCTGGACAAGTCGCCATCCTGTCCTCAGCACAGAGAACAGTTAGCCCCCGGCAATTAGGTCTTCTATGGGTGTGAGGCCTTGTATGGCCTCAGGCTTCAATGGATATTGAGATAATTTAGGGAGAGGTTTAGTTATGTCTACCGGAGTCTCTGTAGGTTCTGCACTCTATTCTTCCAATGTCAATTTTAAAGGTAGTCCTTAGCCCAGTCAATGTAGCTCAGCCGTTGAGCATTGATCCAGGAACCAAGAGGTCACCAGTTCAATTCCGGGTCAGGGCACAAGCCCGAGGTGTGGGCTCAGTCCCCTGTGGGAGGCGTGCAGGAGCCAGCCAATTAATGATGCTTCTTTCTTATCGATGTTTCTATCTCTCTATCCCTCTCTCTTCCTCTCCCTCTAAAAAAATCAATAAAAACATTATTTTTTTAAAAAAAGGTGGTCCTTAGATTTTCAGCCACTTTGATTAACTTAGGGGACCTTTGTTGGAATTCTTCCTCTTCTATGTCAAGAAGAGACACTAAGGAACATAAAAGACTAGGTTCAGGCTGGTCAGGAAATTCTAAAGGGAGGTTTCTATTGGAAACAACATGTTAGCCCTTTTAATTTAGAAAGGAGGTCTCCCGCTACTGACTGACTGGTGCTGAGTTACAGAGCAAAAAGAGGAATGTTTTTCAGTGGAAGGTCCCAGAGTCATTTGTACTCGTTGAGGTAAAATTCTCTCTAAACTTTCTGAGATGCCCCCACTATGGAAACTTCCTTTTTACTCTGAGGATTTTGTTGTCCAGTGAGGGTGGGGTTGAAAGGAGAAAGCATAGCTCAAGTAATTTTAGTTTCCCCTTGGCTGTCCTAGGAAAGTCCTCACTTAACGTCAGTAGGCTCTTGGATACTGCAACTTTAAGCAAAAGAATTTAAAATGAAACCAGTTATACCATAGGATAAGTGATATAAACAAGAGTTGAGTTCCTACAGTATATTTCTAGTTGCAGAAGCATTATTACATTTCTAAATGAAGACCCAAAACAATTCTAATATTAAACATTGAAAGAAATGTGAGCTATACATACATTTAAGAAAGGTTAATAAAAACAGGTAATTCTTTACCAACTTGTTTATTCCAGTTCAGGGTCACAGATGCCTAGAGCCTGTCCCAGCAGCTCAAGGTGCAAGGCAGGAACCAACCCCAGACAAGACGCCCTTCCACTGTAGGGCCACTCACACCCACCCACACTCAGACTGGGACATTGTAGATACCACAGTTCACCTAATGTGCACATCTCTGGGATGTGGGAGGAGAAACCCACAGACATGGGAAGAACATGCAAACTCCACACAGATAGTGTCCTTGGCTGGGAATTGATTATTTTTTTTATCAAGGAGATAACAAAACAACATTATTTGAGGACCTGCTGTATTGTTACTAGCTTACCAGAGCCCCGTTAACTCTGGGAGGGCCCATATGGGGGAATCCTTGGGGGTTGATATGGGAGCATTTGAGTTGATGTTGAAAAGTTTGCATAGGGCCTTTGAGGACAATCTCTTTTCCGGTGCCCAGTTCATTACAATTGAGACATTGATTTCTTGGCCAGTGTTTGATCATGGACCCCTAAAGGAGTGCAATTGGACAGGCCAAGGTGTTATTTTGGTTCTCTGGCCTTAGAGCTGTTGGAGCCATAAAGCTAATGGCTCTGCTTATTTTCATTTCCCTTCTTGCTCCAGGGTCCTTTCAAAATGCTCAGTTAGGCCTGCGTCCTCCCTTCCCATTCTCTGCCTTTTATCGACCCATAATCTCAGTGGATAAGCCATTTACAAGGAGGGCAGCGAGAGCAGGTTGGGTGACCCTGTTTATCATATGGAACCTGGAACGCCACGGAAGAGGGCTTCCAAGCAGCTGTAAAGTCTGCCCCAGACTCAGCTCTCTTTTGTTTGCATGTTTGAAAGCAGACCCATCAGGATGGGCAGAGAAGACTTAGGAATGGCTTGTGGAAGTTGTTGCTATTTTGCAAATTCTTTCTGGTCAAAGATTTTGAATATCATCCTCAGGGGTTGCCACTTTGCTTCCTACACCCATTTTTTGGGCTTCACCAGGTCCTACCAATCTGTACAGTAACAGATAAAGATCTGGTAGTTTTCTAAGAATTTAGAATTATTATTGGGGGTCTATGACTCTGGGCCACCAGATCTATTATTATTCAATAGGTTCATATTCTGTTATGAATTCTTCCTCCCAGAGAAGCAGGATTCTTAAAATCTTCTGTTGCAGACCTGGGAGGTGGATGTGTCTGTTAAAAACCTGCCACATAAGTTTCTTTTCATCTTTCTATGCAATTATTGCCATTGCAACCTGTAATTATGATAGAAATTTA